CTTGGAACAGGTTACATTCTTCTCTTTTTTTTCCAAGGCAATCTTCTTACTAAACTTTATGGAACTTTCTCTAATTCTATATTTTACAAATTCCCATTTACTGCAAAGACTATTTATAGTCTCATTATTTTCAATTTCAATTATTATTTATTTTATCTTTGTACAATATTCTTTATTTTTTAACAGACCAGAATTACATTTCCAGTAGCTTTTATTTTTCCTTATTCTATCAACTTGAATTAATTTAATTTCTACAATACAATGATCTATTAGCGGGGCTTTGGAAATCAAGATGTCTGAGGCAAATTCTCTAAACGAGTAATCCACAAGCCAGTAGTCAATCCTGGATTTACAGGTGTTATTAGGTTTAAACCAGGAATATTGTTTTACTCCTGAATTTAAACTTCTCCAAATATCTATCAGGTGATTTTTATTCATAAATTCCCCTATTGTATGGTTAAAGTGGTAGCTGTCAAATTTAGTGGGCCATCTGTCTTCCCATTCGTCAGGTGCCATATTCCAGTCAACCCCCATGAGAATAAAGTCCTGTAGGATAAACTGTTTTGAGCTCTGATAAAGTGTTTGTAATTTCTTCAAGCATTTGTTTATTTTGGGCAATAGTTCTATGACCATATACGTTAGTTAGTATGAAAAAACAACCATCAATTTTTAAAACCACCATCAGCAAGTGACCTTGGCTATCTGTCCTGCATGCTATTATATCACCTGGAAACCTATTAAAACAAACTGCAACACCAGCAGACTTATTGGTCCCATGACTAAACAGTATTCGATCACCCCATTGGTTAGACCAGAACTTAACATCCAATTCGGAAGAATGAGTTTCTTGTAATAGCAGACATTGTGGTTTAAGCCCTTTACAAAATAAAAATAGTGCTTTTCTTTTGACCAAATCTTTTAGAGCCCTCACGTTTAATGAAGCAAATGAGATTGAACAATTGAACATTGCTGAAGATAATGAGATAACTATAAAACGAAGAAAAAGCGTTTAAAGCTTATTTACGCTGATTAACAAATACAAAAATAGTCCCATGTCCTCTTAACACACTCCTTTTACATCTAGTGTCAGTAGATCAAACCTTTCCTTCGTTTAACCAATTCGACGACCCTCTATGTATCCGTACGGTCCGCGGTAGTAAGCACGCTTTCCATCCCGACGAGCCTGTTCAATTTGCGGCCAGAGTTTTTTCCTTGCCTCTCGATCCTCTAGCGGTAGCATCTCGGCGAGGCGGACGCCTTTCTCTCTGCATACCGGGGCATCCTTGCAGCGACGCCATAACTCCTCTTTGACAAGTCTCCGGACAAATAAGACAACTACATGTCTATTCCTGTTGTCTTCCTTTCGTCCGCCTCTGTGCACAATGTCGATTGCTTCTTCGAGCTGTCGCTGTTCCATGTCAGGGGCGATCTCACTGAACAGTTGTATGACGTAGGCTCTAACGTTCTCGTCCTTTCTTTCTGACAAGCCTTTCAGTTTCAGACACTATCGCATCTTGTATCTCTCCTAGTCCCTGATTCTCTCCTTAAGCTCTTGATTTTCTTTGCACAGACGTTCGTTACACTTTTCCAGCTCGATAACTTTCCCCTTGCATTCCTTAACTTCTTCAGCATTGAACTGCACGGCTTTCGTTAGGCTAGCAATCATGCTGCTACTCTGTTTAGCTTGCTCTCGAAGTTGTGTCAGTTGCTCATTGAAGTTATTTCCAAACTCTGAATGGCTTCCAGTATGGTCAGGTTAGAGACCTCATTTTCCCAGCTGGAATCTTACTCGGAGTTGTCGGCGTGGAGTCTTTTCTTTTAGTGATTGTGCTAACCTCCATATCGTAGTCATGGTCGGCAGATTGTTCGAAAATCTTAGTGCTCATCGCAGCTTGCTTCTTTTCACTGTCCCCCTCTTTAATTGTCAGTCTGGCCGGTTTGATCATACTTTTTTAATAGTTTGGAGCGTCTTCATAAGCAGAAAATCAAGATTTGGGACAATTTTGCTTCCGTCTCTTACGCGAGTGACTGTTCAACACGCCATCTTGCCCGGAACCACATAAACAATATCTGCAAAGTTACGAAGCTGAAAGTTCAATGCAAACGGAAGAATCCGGTCCATGAACTTCCGTCTGCTTACCATCAGAGGTCACCCTTTCCATTACATTGACTCTCGCACTACACCTACTGTTCTTCTTCTTCTTCTTCTTTGACGTTTTACGGCGGTTGGCAAACCAGCTTTAGGTGCATTTACCGACACCTACTGTTGCTTATCATCCCGGACTACATATCCCATCATTCATTGCACTGATTGCACTCAGCACGGATTGCACACAGCTGTTTTCACTGATTGCACACAGCTGTTTCACATCACTCACTCACTATATAACACTCACTCAAACTACCATTCACTGCCGAGTACTGCTTAGCCTGTTAGTTTTCCTAGTTCCTGTTTCCTTCCTGTGTTTCCTTGTTTTGCCTTGCCTTGCCTTGCCTTGTCTTGTCGGTTTCCTCAGTTCTGATCTTTGCCCGTCTCCCTGGATTTATCCCTCTAGTCTCGCCCCTGTGATTCTGTCTGCCGATCGTCGACCTACGCTAGCCCTAGGACTATTCTTGTGTTTTGCCCGCCATATACCTGTTTGCCATTGTCTGGACCCTGCCTGTTATGACAATGTCTCTGTCTTTTAATGCCTACAAAAATGGCTGGTAAGGGACTACAACGAGTTCCCGGGTTCATGACATCACAAACCCAGATAAATATTCGCCCTCAGGAAAAGGCAGCAAAGGGGGCGAGGCCATGCTGCGCTGCTTTAGAGAAGAGGAAGAGAAAACTAGAGGTGCACGTAAAAATCTATTCATATGTGAATCGCGATTCTGTCTTCTAACGATTCTAATGGATTCACAAGTTTCAAAATCAATGTTCTAAAGCCGCCATTCTTAATACTGTTCCTCGCGTCCCCATGCTCTGCACACGCTCTCTCTCTCTCCCTCTCTCACATTCAGCTCAGCTCCAACAATGAACTGTTCCAATTATACACTTATTTTCACATAGCTATGAGAAGCGTTATACATGGACACATGTGTAGTTGCCGTACTGTATTAAAGTTTTAATCAGGATAAAACCGTATATTAAAAGCCAACATAAGCAGTAGCATTTACAAATAACAGCATATCTAAAAGTATGAGACAACAACAAACAAAAAACATAGGCCTACCATTAAAAGCCATGCTTGCACAGGTTCTGCACGATCCTCTTCAATAATATCCTCTGCTTCTCAATCGGGCTCAAACTGATAAGCGATATTAACAATGCCATTGTTTACAATACAACCGGAGCACATGCCGCTGAGGTGAGGGGCGGGATGTTTAGATGCGCACTAGAGGCGGTTTAGCCAATCACAACACACTGGACAAGCTAACCAATCAGAGCCCATCGCCTATTTCTGAGGGTGGGGCTTCATAAAAACAGGAAAAGGTCAGCCCGTTTCTCAGAGAAGGGACAGAGCAGTGTGGAATAAAGGTAAATTATGTGAAAAATAATGCGTTTTTAAAAAAAGAAGCATTAACACATGTTAGACTGCACCCCATAAACACAATCAAGCCTAGAAAAAAAAGTGAACCACCCCTTTAAAACATGCAAAGTAGGATTGCCAACTGTATTTAAGTAGCATTCCATATTAAATCCATATGGAAAGCAGTTTATGGTGTCACGCCTAGTTTAGGGAGCTAAAAAAACACAAAAAAACCCAAGAGCACCCTTAGTTGAAACTGTAATAATAACATGTTTGGCAACTCTTCTGTGCATATTTGCATTTCCGCTCTGGAGAGCGTCAGATGTTTCTATTTACAAAGTTTGCAGCACTGAGCAGTGTAGCCAAATTACAGACACGTCCGTTGAACCGGTGAACTGAGATGAGTGACAGGCTCAGTGCATTTGAAATTATAAAGGGAGCACATTTTGCACGTATTCTAGGCTATCTGTAATGCATTCACAATTTTAAGAAAAGGTTTTTTTTTCTCATGATGCAAAGAGGAACAATGTCCCCTCACTAAAGTTCAGTTATAATTTATTTATTCTAAATAAATGCTCAAATGAATCTCAGACGTGAACATATTTGCTTTGCTTAATCCATTCATGTACAAATTAATTCTAAAAAGAAATATATATTTCCTTTTAGAATTATTTTGTTTGTGTATACACACACACACACACCAACACAAACAAATTAATTCTAAAAGGATATATATATATATATGTATATATATATTATCTTCTAACTAAAGCCTAAGTGTCTTCGTCTTATGTATATATATAATAAGTATTGTACCATGATGATGATGATGATGATGATAATAATAATAATAATAGTAAATGCATGAATATTTAAATCTGGTGCATTTCGTAGGTAGTTTAAACCAATGTTTGTATGTTTAAAAAGCCTATTACAATTATGCAACCTGGTCTCATAAAAATATGTACCTCTGGGTACTTTTCTCCAACACCGTTTTTACGTACTTTACTGCACGTTTCACTGCAGTTTCAAAGAGAAATGTCCACTGAGTGGCGCTAAAACAGGTTCAATATGTGAACCCTGGCATGTTTTTATTACGTTGATATAGGTACGTATTGCTGCGTTTTTATTACGTTGCTTCAGATAGGCTACGTATTGCAGTGGTTCAGAATTCAAATATGCGGGGACTGCAGCTAAAAGTTAATGCTCTATCATGTTGGAAATATGCCCTACACCAAACCCAACCCTAAACCTACCCAGTAGTGTTAACAAATGCAAAACTGATATAAAAATGTGTTCATGCAACCGTGCCATTTGAACTTCCTTATATGCAGATTTGATCTGTTTTGTCAAACCGTAGTTACACGGGATTCGAACCGGAGCTCCTCACTTCTCAAGTGCGTCACCATACTCCGTGCGGAGCCAGAGCACGCAACGTCAGACCAGGTGCGAGAGCCTGCAACAGAGCTCGCCACGGTGGAGAGCGCTATGAACAGCGAGAGCGTGGTGGGAAGCTCCGCCCACTGCTCCATGGCTGAGGGTGAGCAGCGCTCTATGGACTGTGATGGGGGCATATATGCAGACATGCCCCCTTTTCTCCTGCCTTCATATGAACTCTCTGCCTGCCCTGAATCATTTGTCTGCCCTGAATGAATGAATGAATGAATGATGCATTTATAAAGTATCTGAAGTATCTGCCTGCCCAGAATTATCTATTTGCCCTGAACAATTCAACAAACCTGAAACGACCATGGATGTCGTTCCCCTGTCCCAGTATTGGGAGTCGCGATATGGTGTGTGTGGGCAGCATGGGACTCCCCTCCTCCAGCTCAACATCGTCCCTCTGTCCCTCTGGCTCTGTCGGGCTCCTCCTTCCCTCCGGCTCCACCTTGGTCCTCAGTCGCTCCGGCTCCACCGCGGCCTTCCGGATCCCTGCCTTGGCCCTCCGGATTCTCGTGTCGCCCTGGTTCATTGGCTCTCCTTCTCCGCCTCGGGCTCCTCCACCACCTGCTCCGCCGCCGTCAGTCAGTCCTTCCTCCACCATGGTTCCTCCCTCCGTCGGCTCCGCTGTGGGCTGCCATCATGGCTGTGGCCTGGGTCCCGCCTGTCTCCTCCTCCTGCTCTGGTTCCCTTTCTGTTGTCACCCTGGCTCCTCCCTTCGTCATCACCACCCTGGACTCTGCTGTTCGTCGTCCTCCCGGTCATCCGGCCACCTCCTGAACCTTCTCTAATCACCTTTTTCCATCCCACATCCATTCCTTTGTCCTCCTCCGTAGTCCCCCTCCGTCTCATCCCTTTTTCTTCGCAAGGTCGCGCCTTCCGGGAGGGGGGCGAGATGTCACATTTACGGACGTTTTGTGTTTTTCATTCCTCATGTTCTCTGTGTGACCTAGTTTCTGTCTCTGCTGATTGTGTCATTATGTTCAGGTGTGTCTAGTCGTTATCCTCATTTACGTTCCCCATATAAGTTGCATTCTGTTCAGTGGTTGTTTGTCCGGTCTCATCTATAAATACGTGTGGTTGCTACCCTTATGTGGATTATTAAAGACTTTATATTGTGATCTTCTTCGTACTCGTGCTTCTCTCCCGCACCACACCGTGACAATAACATAATATTCTTCAAGTAATTTTAAATTTATGCTTTATTAATCAAAACTCTGTACATCTGTGTGAAAAAGAAGAGTTTTACTGCCTCTAGTGTTCATTTCTCTTAGAAACTACAGTGATATGTACTTATTGGTACGTATTTCGAGTCTCGCAAAAAAGTGCACCCAGATAGGCTACGTTTTTGCCATGAGACCAGGTAGCAATTAGCCTATGACATGACAATATTTTTGGTGAGTTTAAAATGTAATCAATTTCTTATGTAAGAATTATTACATTTTGAGCTCAAGATTTTATTACGTTCTGAGAAAATTATTACATTATGAATATTTTATTACAATAATAATGTAATACTTATTACATTATGTGCAGTTTTTAAATTATGTGCAGCTATTACATTATAAGTTGCTACAAAGCATTTTGAAAAACTTTTTTATATTTGATAATTATTAATAGCAGTAGTACATTTTGTTTTATGTATTTTTTTGTAGCTTCTTTTTGTCCAGGAAAGGTTTTATTTTTGTTACGTAAATATTGTTAAAGGCACAATATGTAATTTTCGTTAGAGTTCAAGTTTCCGCTAGAGGGCGCGTATTCAAAATAAACAAAGAGACAAAGGCGTAGTTTGATGACGGCGTGACTGAGTGTGGAATCATGGGAGTTGTCATCTTCATCCCCACAGCCAATGCAATCCGACGGGACTCGGGCAGAAATCATGTTCATGGATGAACTAATGATTTGTTAACGCATTAGAATGAAGCAGGGTGAGGCTGAAAGTCGTCGAAGCGAAAGGAGGCCGCTGAACGAGCGCGACACATGGCTCGAAAGCAGCGGAGCTTTTATTATGCAACAGTCGACCGCTTCCACTCCTTCCAGTCGTGCGTATGTGGGGGGAAAAAAGCGCTGTTTTATCATACTAGATACATTTGAAAGTTCTGTTATAATACTCTGTGCGGTCGTCACCGGTCTATTAAAACGCACAACATATTAATTAGTTTCCATGTTTTCTAAAAAACAAAAACCGGAAATCGAGGGTGTGTGACGTCATTGGCAGATGACACAATGACACTATGGACACGCTCCGTGTCACTAGTTAAAATTGCTTATTTATCTGGATTTAAACATTCTTCGAAACATTTGGTATAATGGAAGTACACAAGTCAGCAAAATATATAACACTGTTCTAGTGTTTTTTTTTTTATATTTTAATAAAAAAATCTTAAATATTGTGCCTTTAAAATAAGGTATTTGGGGTCAATATGACCCCAATCAACTTTTCGTTAGTTAAAAAAAAGGGTTCCCTTCATCTCAGTGGAATAAGATTTTGTGACTTTTCAACATTAAATCCTGCATAAATCTGAAAATGTCCACACAAAAATGAAGGCCTGATACTAGAGCACAAATGCAATGTGGAACGAGCATACTCACTCACATACGTACACACACACGCGTGCACACACTCTCTCTCACACACACAGCCATCATTCATATCTGTTTATTGCAGATGTTGTTGTTTTGGTTTTTTTTTTTCGTTTTGTTTTTTTTGTTTGTTTTTTTTGGTATTGGTTTATTTACATTTAAGTAAAATAAAATTGACTTAGACTGAAATAAATATGTGCCTGCAATCAAGTTTTAGTGACAACTTGTGTGGCATTTCTGCAAATTTATGTGGCATTATTGCAAAAGCGGGCACTTCAAAATACCTCAAACAACAAAAACTAATTCTAACCTTTGAGAAAAATACAGTTTTTTTATGTATTTTATAATGTTTCAATATATATTTACAAAATATATATCAGAAAAGTTGTGAGAAGAGCAGTTGGCCGCTTCCAGAAAAATGAATGGATCTCTATGGACCTCTGCTGGATATTTATGGTCACTACACTATTCTTTCAAAAACTGTGATTTCTACAAGTTTTTCTCTAACCAGCAGATGCCAGAATTCTACACCTAACACCTAGATCAATATCCAGAAACAACTTAAATTAAATTTAGATAATCATTTAAGTGATTTTTCCATAAAAAATTATATTTCACATGCAAGCTAATGGTGTAGTTGAGGAATTTTTTGGTAAACAGGTACATAAGTACTTCATATCTCCCAAAACACAGCATTATTGTATAGATGAGAAGTAAACAAAAAAAATTATAAATTATGTATGATTAAAAATGTATATATTTTTTACAATTACTCTTTCAATTTTGGGGTCATATTGACCCCAAAGACCCTTAGTGTAAACAGGAAACGAGGACCTTATGAGGGTTAAGTATAATTGTCTTTAAGGGGCTCATCTGGTATGTATTAGATGGCAGATGGTGAGTAAATTCAACCTTTGGATTCCACCTTGGTTTTCACCTTGGGATTGTTCATTCAAAAATGAGAAGTCATTACTCACCCTCAAGTTGTTCCAAACCTGTGTGAGTTAGTTTCTTCTGCTAAAAACAAAAGATGATATTCTGAAGAATATTTGCAACCAAACAGGTAGTATTGACTATCATAGTATTTGTTTTCATATTATAGGAAATCAATGGCTACCAGCAACTGTTCGATTATCAACATTCTTCGAAATATCATCTGTTTTCAGCAGAAGAAACGTACTCGTTTACTAACGTAACCTCAGTTCCCTGAGATACGGGAACAAGTACTGCGTCTGTTAGACGCATATGGGAAAAAAGCATTTTTCTCCTGAACTGAAGCATTTTCATTCATGCAATGAAACTGCACAGCCATTGGTTCGTGCAGTGTATTAAAAACGAACCAATGGCTAGGCTGCGGAGCTGCACGAGCCTATGTGGATCTGTTTCAGTGTAATCATCCTGAACAACCCTTCATGAGGGCGTGATTCAGGTGTCTGAGATCGAGGATGGGCCGGAGGCCACCATCTCTTTTGGGGATGAGGAAGTAACGGCTGTAGAAGCCTGACTCGCTCTGGGCTGGAGGAGCCATTTCCACAGCTCCGTTTGCCAGCAAATTCATCACCTCTGAGCGCAGGACGTGAGCGTCCTTGCTTTGCACTGAGGTGGGGACCATGCCGCTGAAGCGCGGGGGTCTTCGAGCGAGTTGGAGTGAATATCCTCGCTTTATTATCCCCATAACCCATCTCGACACTCCGGGGATGGCCTGCCAGGCCTCGGCCTGCATGACGAGGGGTTAAATTAACTTGGGTGACTGGCCGCACGGGGGCAGAACACTTATGAGTAATGGAAGAGGAAGTTTGCTCTCTTTTTGAAAATGTTAGTGTTTTATTTTTTCCACTATCACAGCGGTTGAATGCTTGGGCGCATGAATGGACCCGTTGTTTGCACAAAACACATTTCCCTCTGTACCCGGAGTTGAACGGGGTGTCAAGAGGTCTAAGAGAGGCTGCTTGAGGGGCGGTCTAGCCGTAGTGAGATCTGACCCCGTCCTCTTCCTGTCTCACATATCAGGATAACGCCTGAGGCGCTGGGTCCAACGCAATCTTGGGTCGGGGTCCCTGGCGCTTAGGAAGAGGGTAGCGTTTGGCCAAGCGAGAGTGTCCCTGCGTCTGCTGCACTGTAGCGGGCTGAACGGCGGGGGCGGCATGTGCTGGTTTCGCGGCCTGCTGAGTCGGTGCAGACTTAGGGCGAGCAGAGGTAGCAGAGGTGCTGGAGCGCTTAGGCAGGAAATGTCGCATAGCCTGGGACAATTTCTGTGCCTCCGTGAAGCGCTCAGCGAATCCTTTGACCGCTGGGCCGAAAAGGCCTTTGGGAGAGACTGGAGCATCGAGGAAGGGGATCTTATCCG